ACACACACACACACACACACACACACACACACACACACACACACACAAAATTAAGACATATCTGGAATTGCTTTCTCAAAAGCCATAATAAATTCCACTTGGCTCTTTCAAATAAAACTGGAAGGAACTTTGACTATCTACATGTAGATCTGGTCACCCCATCTCCAAAAAGATACATTAGAAATGGAAAAGTTACAGAGAACGGCAACAAAAATGATTAGGGGTATGGAACAGCTTCCGTATGAGGCGAGATTAAAAAGCCTTTTCAGCTTGGAAAAGAGACAACTAAGAGGGGATATGATAGAGGTCTATAAAATCTTGACTGGTGTGGAGAAAGTGAATAAGGAAGTGTTATTTACCCCTTCACATAACACAAAAACTAGGTCTCACCCAATGAAACTAATAGCCATCAGGTTTAAAATAAATAAAAGGAAGTATTTCTTCACACAATGCACAGTCAACCTGTGGAACTCATTGTCAGGGGATGTTGTGAAGACCAAAATATAACAGGATTCAAAAAAGAATTAGATAAGTTCATAGAGGACAGGTCCATCAATGGCTATTAGCCAGAATGGTCAAGGATTCAACAGCCTGCTCTGAGTGTCTCTAGCCTCTTTTTGCCAGATGCTGGGAGTGGACAACAGGATGGATTGCCTGATGATTGCTGACATTGGCCACTGTGGGAAGACAGGATACTGGGCTAGATGGACCATTGATCAGACCCAGTATGGCCATTCTTACATTATAATAACTTCTTATTTGGTAATGGAGTGGAAATGAGGGAAAGAGAGAGGTCCTACATTTTTGGCCTTTGGCACCCATAGCTAAAGAGGCCCTGCTTGGGTCTCCCCTTTCCCAGTACATCATAGATGTTAGAGATGAAAAAGATCTATTGTATTAGCTCATCTAGTCCCTTAGGAACATAAGAATGGCCATACTCGGTCAGACCAAAGGTCTATCTAGCCAAGGATCCTGTCTTCAAAAGTGGCTGGTGCCAGATGCTTCAGAGGGAGTGAACAGAACAGTGCAATGTATCGAGTGATCCATCCCCTGTCCTCCAATCCCAGCTTCCTCCCAAGGCTGGGTATAATCAATCCCCAGCTAGAAGCTGTGTCAGATATTAAACTGAGACCAGCAAACTATCCATTGACAAACAGGTGAGCAATTAGGCCCAACTCTTTTGTTGCCTTTCTTGCTATGGAGCAGAGAAACTCACTTTGTTCTGCATTTCTGAACCTCATTGATCTTACAGTCTGGTATGTTCTGTGCTCTGCATGATAAGGCTCCCAATACAGCTGTATCTAATTCATGGCTCCTACAGAGCACCATCACTTCCAGCTATACTGCACACCACTATAAACACCCTCCTTATAAAAATCTAGTTCACTGGAACGCTCAAAGCTGCTAGCTGCCAGGGAATGCTCTTTAATGAGGGTAAAGAGTACTTGAACACATCTATGATTTGGCAACTCTTCCTGCTTTTTATAAGCTACTATACACTTCAGAGAGAAAGTATCTTAGAGGCTACTTTTTAATGGAACAAGTTTACTTAAGAGCTGAGTCGATCTGGTGCCAGTAGTTCTGTTTTGTTCTAGCTTAATATTAGCCTTGTCAAAGTTCTTATATAGTCTCCTGGGTGTTTCTGTATTACATACCATATAAAGATGTATTTGGGAGCCAAGAATTCTGGCTGCAGAATATGTTATAGTGGGCTCATTATATGTTCCTTTTTTTTAAAAGTATATCAGAAGTGGTCTCATATTAAAGACCCATGGAATAAGGATGAGATTTTCTTTCCCTGTCTACTTTTCCCTGAGCTCATGCTGCAGACTTCAGATCCAGATATCAAACTAACCAGAGTTTGAGGATTGTTTTGGATCCAAGGTCTTGGTTTGGCTCATTATAAAGATAGGGGCAATTAGTGAATTTCAGATGTGGTTTTGGATTTTGAAAATCCCTAGGCTTTGGGGGTGATCAGCCTTGGGGTTTTGGTAACAACCAGACTAAAAGATTCCTTACTCATTTTGCTGAGGGAAGTCTTAATTCAAATAGAGCTTTCCAAGACATACACAGCACATCTCATTAAACCTCTGTTCAAAGCAAATGCATTTCATGCATAATCAGTGCTTACATCCTGATGGGCATTATAACAAAACAAAAGAGAAATGGAGAGAGACATATTTGCACATCAGAGGGCACATGGCCCATCTGTTATAGAGACTTGGGGGCAGATCCTGGTCCCTGAATTGGCAGCACAAAGGGAGGAGAGTGTTTCCCTAATGGAACAGCTGAGGGTTCCCTAGTGTGGGGAAAACCCTGGGTGCCATACAACTGGCACAGGAGACAAGCTGGAAGATGGGTGAGTGTGTTCTAAATTAATCTGGGGCCCCAAATGGCCTCAGTTTTAGGGGAGTGTAAAGGTGGCATAAAGCCATCTTTGGCTGCTCTCTTCCCCTTTCAGCTCCGCTGCTCAACATAGCTGAGGATTTTAGTAACATTCATTAGCTGGGAAGCTACTGTATGTAGCCAAATACAGTATCTACAGCCTAATAGTAAAGATACTTATTGAAGTACAACCAGTCTCCATTTATAAGTTCTGTCAGTTGAGAGAGGGGTTTTGGTCAGCCCACTTACCTGTGAACAAACCTCCAGGTTATGCATGGTTCTGAACTCTCAAGAACCATTCATAAAAAATCAGGACTTTGTAGGTTTGTAACTGAATGAGAAATATTGTTTTATGTGAGCATGAATGAGATACTGAAATTATTGCCAGATGTAGTCTGACTACTGTGTGTTCACCTGAATGCCCAATTTTTTTTTGGAGTTTTACTAACTGTCAAGTAACCATAGGCAGGGCTATTTTGCAGATCTGATCTGATCTGTCTGTCTATCCTGCTGTCATTCTCTCTCTACTTTACAATAATATATAGTATGTTATTTTGTTGACTGTTCTAGATTTCTAGCAAGGCTGATTTCTAATAGACAGACTTTTTCTATTATGGCACAAATAAATAAATTTTGTGTGTGTGTGTACACATACACACTGTTTGTTTAT